CATGTCCAAAAGCAATTTTCCAATTCAAGTAGTTTTTATGTGATTATTACGATAAATATGTGTTCTGAGATAATACAAAGATGTTTCAACTCAAATGGGAGGAGTGGCATCAAAAGAACAACATGCAGAAATGGTTGACGTTTAGTTTGAATTTAGCAAATGAGTATTGACTCGTGTGTATGGTATTCAGCCATTGTTTGATGTCCATTATTTGAAGAAAATTGAGATTTTAATAGTGATTTTTTGAAAAATGTGTGGTTAAAAGTGAAAAGTTTTAGATTTATATAAAAAATATTTTATTATGTAAATGTATAATTGAAAATGAATATAAGAATTAAAGAGTTTTAAAATAATGATTGTCAAATAGGGGCTTAAATTTTAACGATTATGTTCTTTTTTTTAACATAATGCATATTGCCTAATTAACTTATTGTTAAATTTATTAACTTTTATTTAACACAAATTCACCCTACATGTTTTGATAGATAAACTTGGTTGTTCATTTCTAGTTGCACGAATTGCACACTCATTTTTATGTCTTTGTTGGAATTTAGTTTAAAGATTGGAAAATTTAATCAAGTATAAAATTTGAAAAGTGATTTTGTGTCACTTCGGCCAAATATTCGGACTTGATCTGATAGTCAAATTATAAATATAAATATACTAATTTGTTTTACTTATCGAGTAGGTCATCGTAATATATCTGTAGTTTCAAAACTAATTCCGAATGAATGAGAAATTGAAAACAAAAGAGGAAGAACTAGCTCGGAAATTTGTCTAACGCTCACCTAGGGTTCAAGCGATGAGACTAACGCTCGAGTGTCAGGAGGGCGACAAAGTCTCTGATGAACAGGTGTCTCTGTCGCTTGAGCGAAAAGACAACGATAGCAAGAAATGTTTCCCTTCGTGAAGGTTGTTGAGTTTGAGGGGTGACACTTCACTTACAACATCTCTTTTTCCATAAATAGGACCATTTGGATTTCCATTATGCATTCCATATCATTTGCATTGAGTACTTTATTAAAAATTCTTGTTAAAAAAAATCTCCAAAAATTATTCCAAAAATCATCTTACTATAGAGGGAAGAATTTCGTTCAAGTTCACAGTTGCTTATGGTTTGAAGTGCTCTTACCACACTCATATTTTTACTGGTAGCAACATTTCGGATCATGTTTAACAACATTTTGGGGCTTTATTTCAGATTACCATGAGTGCAGAAGAGAGTGTCAAACAGAGATGGATAGTTTACAAGGACCAGGCACATTCGCATCATTATTCCTCTATTGATTTTCTAGTTTCTTTGGATTGAGAGGAATAATGCAAAACACAGGAATATACGTATGAGTTCGATATTTGATTTAGAGAATAAAAATTTAGCTAAGTATACAACTTAAAAAAATGACTTTGTATCAATTTCTGTCAAATATTCGGACTTGATCCGATAGTCAAATTATAAATATAAATAGACTAATTTGTTCTACTTGTCGAGTAGGTCATCGTAATATATCTGGAGTTTCAAAACTAATTCCGAATGAATGAGAAGTTGAAAACAAAAGAGGAAGAACTAGCCCGGAAATTTGTCTAACGCTCGCCTAGCGCTCAAGCGATGAGACTGATGCTCGAGTGACAGGAGGGCGACAGAGTCTCTGATGAATAGGTGTCTCTGTCGCTTGAGCGAGAAGACAGCAATAGCAAGAGATGTTTCCCTTCGTGAAGGTTGTTGAGTTTGAGGGGTGACACTTCACTTACAACGTCTCTTTTTCCATAAATAGGACCATTTGGATTTGCCTTATGCATTCCATATGATTTGCATTGAGTATTATATTAAAAATTCTTGTAAAAAAAATCTCCAAAAATCATCTTACTATAGAGGGAAGAATTTCGTTCAAGTTCGCAGTTGCTTGTGATTTGAAATGCTCTTGCCACACTCATATTTTTACCGGTAACAACATTTCGGTTCATGTTTGACAATATTTTGGGGCTTTATTTCAAATTATCATGAGTGAAGGAAAGAGTGTCAGACAGAGAATTTTGAGATGGAGGTATTCTGGACAGTTTACAAGGATCGGGCACATTCGCATCATTATTCCTCTATTGATTTTCTGGTTTCTTTGGACTGAGAGGAATAATGCAAAGCACAGGAACATATGTATGAGTTTGAGACGTATTATCTGGAGAGTTTACCATATGATATCCTTCCTCTCAGGAGAGAGTGTCAGACAGAGATTTCTGAAATTGAGGTATTATGGACAGTTTACAAAGACTGAACACATTCACATCATTATTCCTCTATTGATTTTCCAGTTTCTTTGGATTGAGAGGAATAATGCAAAGCACAGGAACATATGTATGAGTTCGAGACGTATTATCTAGAGAGTTTACCGTATGGTATCCTTTCTTCATATGGTGGACTATTCTGACCGTTACATTGACGTAATGACATGCAAATTGCTACACTTTTTGGTATTTCTTTGACTCTCCCACCATCTCCTCTCCCTATCATTGTTTGGTGGCGTACTCCATCATTTGGATCTGTCAAGATCAACACCGATGGTTGTATCAAGGATGAGTTTATGAGTGGGGGAGGCATCATCAAAGACTACGCAGGAAAATGTATCAGAGCTTTTTCAGCTTCATATGGACAGTGGATGATATTAGAGGCGGAACTCAAGACTATTCTTGATGGAATACTACTGGCTAAAGATCTTGGTTTGTCAGATATTTGGGTTGAGGCAAACTCGACTGTGGCCATTCACTGCATCATCAAAGTAGGTGGAACGTGGCCTATCCAGATATTCAGACAGATTGAGGATATCGTTTCCTTTGACAGAGATATGGTTTCCCACATCTTCAGAGGGGGGAATCAAGTTGCAGATGCACTTGCTACCAATGGTTGGCATCATCGTAGATACCAAGAATATAAACCAGTCGACCTACCATGACATATCGGGGCGCTTGTTCAGATTGACAAATATGGTTTGCCCAACTCTAGAGTTTAAGTATTTGTATTTTGTTTTTACTTTTATTTTTTTGCTTTATTTTTTGCTCACACTTGTGCTTTTTGTAAGGGAGGTAGTGCTCTTTTTTAACTGTATTCCTATTATTATTTACTTTCACTGTAAGGGAAGTAGTACTTCCTCATTTATTGTTTTTATTGATTTCATTTATAACCACGGTATTCATCTGCCACAAGTGAGGACATATTAATAAAATTGCGGAGGTACCGTCCTCCTTCCACAAAAAAAAAAAAAAAAAAAAAAAAAAAAAGTAAGCTACTATTAATTTAATATTTTTTAATTTTTTTGCTTTTACTTTTATTTTTTTTGCTTTATTTTTTGCTCACACTTGTGCTTTTTGTAAGGGAGATAGTACTCTTTTTTTACTGCATTCCTATTATTATTTACTTTCACTGTAAGGGAAGTAGTACTTCCTCATTTATTATTTTTATTGATTTCATTTGTAACCACGGTATTCTTCCGCTACAAGTGAGGACATATTAATAAAATTTCGGAGATACCGTCCTCCTTCCACAAAAAAAAAAAAAGTGGTCTTATCACCCGTTGTATCTTGAGAGACAAGTACCATAATCCGTTAACACCATTATAGGACAATTTTATTTTAAAGAAAAAGTGTTAACCACTTGCTTCAAATTTCATTATTCATATTTTCTTCGTTTTTTACCTTTATAGAAGTTTAATTACGTCCATGTAAATTAAACTTAAAACTATTTATTTGTTACGTAAACAAACAATCAATTCTCTATACATATCACCAACAACTTTTGGGATACACTTACTAAGTAGGTATTTTATTTATTAACTGCTAATTGCTAAAAGTTTTTATTCAAATGAATTTTATTTGAGGCTCGTGGGTACATTAATTTTAAAATGTTAGATTGTTGTTGTCTTATCTTTTTATTATTTGATTGTTGATCTGACTTATTTTTAAATTGAATTGATCACCTTGTTAGCTTATTAATGAATAACTTGTGTTTTTGTTGCCTTGCGGAGTTAATGTTGGATTGTTTGTTACCTTATTTTCTATTATTCGATCATTGTTGCTTTGTCTTCTCATCTTATTTTTATTTATGAGATTATGGAATGTACTAATGGAAGGTCAACATTATGTCAAGATATGAAAGATCTTGTTTTCATTCTTTAGAATGACATGTCAATCTCGTGAAATTACACTTCATGATGCGTTGATCAAAGATCAACCTTCAATTCCTACCGGGACGTCCTCCAACTTTATCTCCAAAAATTGAAGATCCATCAATCTCAACTCTTGAATTACAATCATGTACTATTATTGAGCATGATCTAAAAAAAAGAAACCAAATGTTTAAACATTATGTCAATATATGACATCATATTAGAATCACATTTCAAAGTTGGGACTTATCAACTACAGTTTAAGCAATATACAAAGACAAAAGGAAAAAAAGTTAAAAACCAACCTCTCAGCTTTCAAAAAATTAGATCACTGAGCCCTTTTTTGGCGACCTTAATATTTTAAGAACATAATTTTGAATAGTATTTTTTTCTTTAACCTATTGCACACTTGATTTTGCCTTAGGAACACCAAAAACATAATAGTGAAAGATTGATTTGAAGTTGGTCTATGAATCTTAAAACTACAACAAATTGGATTTATTGAGATGAAAACAGGTAAAATGGCATTAAACATTTACATGTTTAACAAAGGCCTTGAAGCCATTATGTACTAATAAAAAGGTCAAAAACTTAGAAGACTTACGAATAAGGATAAATCTACTTGTACATCAAAAGATGTACATTAAGGTCTATACCCCCCCTCACATGGGGGTGGGACCCACCTATGTAAAATATTTTTTTATTCGAGCGAGCCCCACCTCCATGTGAGAGAGGTGTACATCCCGATGTACACAGTGATATACCCCTAGCAAAGCCGTACAAATAATCAACTGATATTTTATGGACCAAACAAGAAACAAAAATATTTAAACAAAGAATTACAAGCATTCAAAATCTTTGTTCTCCATCTGCTCTTGCTTGAACTTGAGATGCATATTGCAAGTTCCAAAGAACATCCTCGAAAGACGGACGAGTTGAGAATTCAGGCGATATGCATTTGTTCGCTATGGATATGATAATCAATAGAGATTCTTGTGAGCAAGATGTGAGTACAGTTGGGTCGACAATTCGCCTCTGGCCATCGGGAGTAACCAACGAAACCTGCAAAATGTCGAAATTAATATTTAGATCCAATTCGGGTCTGTAACGTGAAGGGAATTAGAGCTGAAAACAACGTAAGGACGAGAAAAAGGAGAATGAACTTCAAAAGGCCAAGACCACGTTTGGCTTAGCAAAAAAAAAAAGAAGTAAAAGTATCATTTCGGAAAGGACATACTCAACTATTTTTGGCAAAAGAAGTTACTTAAATGTGAGTTTAAGTTTAGCCAAACATGCTCGTAGAAACAGATTCTCAGCTATGATCACTCGCTGACCAGTGTATAAATTATCAGTTCCTTATGTTAGCTTTTGAATATGTTCTACACAGTTTACACGTATGCTACACACTAAATCAGTTTTAAGTACCATCTCATTGAGCAAAAAAGTCTCATTTCTCGCTGAGAATGAAGGACCAATAAGCGACCGGAGTAATATCAATCCAAAGCTATAAACATCATCCTCCGCGCTCTTTATTTGCCTGTGAGCACTCCAACAGAACAGAAAAAATTAACAGTTAATCAACACTGCCAATATCATATGCGTGTAATTCTACTAATTGAGTAAACTAATCTACTCTTGTTGCAATGACTAATTGATCTGAGAGAACTCGTACCATGAATTAAGGCCTCCTTCCGCCTAACAACCAAGAAAACCAGAAATAATAGTTAGTTGCCTACAATATTAAACTGCAGACAATGCACAAGATTTTTTTTTTTTTTCATTTCTGATAGTGTCTAATCTACCTAACGGAACAAGTGTTGACTTTAAATACATACCTTATGCTCGTCAATCTCTTGGACTACAATTGACAACCCATAATCACTCAGCTTTCCCATCTGATGCTCGTTCAGCAATATATTGTTCGCCTTCAATTGATTATTGAAGAAACCTGGAATAATTCCAGTGTGAAGAAAATGCACAGCCTTGGCTACACCAATCAGAATAGCCAATCTGTCGGACCATTTGAGTACATTCTCGGGATTAGTTTCTGCATACGTAATACTACAAGATTTCAGTTGATAATCATATAATATTAATATTTTCTGTTATTTTTTCCAGTTAAAAGTTTCAAAGAATTACAAGGATAGTAGTTTACATGATATCCAAAACTAACTTCTTTTATAAATGCTATCCTCACCCGAAAGACGAGCTTGATAATTCCCATTTGGAACATATTCGTATATGAGGTAGACATTGTTCACATCAGATTCAACCTTTCCTTCATTCACAATGCAGTGCCCCAAGAGGCAAACTAAATGTGGATGTCGTAGCTTAGCCAGTAAATCGAGTCTTAGTTTGAGATTTCGAATTGCATATCTTTTTGATACAGTCAGGCACCGAATAGATACTGGAGTCCCATTTTCAAGTCTTCCTTTGTACATCTGGTAAGGAAGCCATGAGATACATAAGTCCAAAGGCCAGTGTATATATAACATCAAAGATAGCATTCTGTCCGGGAATAAGGATCCAGCCATATAGTGATCGTCTAAAATGAGCTACATAAATCTGAAATTTTGCTGGAGATTAACTTTGCATACATTTCATAGACTAAATGCTTCTTTCATTCTGCAGAACTTGGTAGTATAATATACAAGATTTTAGCGTCTTTTTGTTCCTTAAAACTGTCCAGAACCAAGCATTCCACCTTTCCAAATAAGTCATTAAGTCATAACTATGAAATTAGCAGCAAGAGAAGTTTATACCTTCCCAGTCAAACCTTGACCCATCAAGTTGGACTTATCAAAATTGTTTGTGGCAGCCTTTAGCTCATCCAATGAAAACAGGCGATGCGCGTGTGTCCCTTGTGAGCCTAACTTTGCTGCATCAGAAATAAACCCTAATAAAAAAGAAAAATGAAGCTTAAATAGGCTTGTCAAGTACAACAAAATGCTGTTGTCAAGAAGTCATTTGATAACATACTAGCATTCATTAAAAGCTCGGAAGTGAAGCCCGTGACAGAGTTATCTTGCACTGACTTTTGCAATAAATGTTGCTCCGATTTTCCTCGAGGACAATATTGTCGACACAAAACAAGAAATCCATAGGCCAGAAGCCCCATAATAACAATAATTCCACCAATGACACCAATTAATATCCCCAAATTCTTCTCTTCAGATTTTTTCTTCTCTTTGTGGTGTTCTAAACAATATGTTTCTGGATGCTGATGGCTTAGATCAATTGACAAGCAATTCCCTCCATATTTCACACCTCCAGTTTTTATCGCAGAGCTCAAACAGGAAGGCAGCAGACCTCTCAATTTATTGTTAGAGATATCGACTGATCCAAGCTTACTGCCACAACTCATGCGCACTGGAAGCGATCCACTCAACATATTTGATGCCAAGTTTAAGGAAACAATACCAGGAAACGAAAAAAGTCCTGCAGGAGGTGTCCCTTTAAGGGCATTGAAAGAAAGGTCAATTTGCTGAAGCAGATGCAATTGACCATATTGCTGAGGAATCCTCCCAGAAAAGTTGTTGTTGTTTAGCAGAACTGCTGTCAGTCCTTTCGGCATATTGGGAAGTTCTGATTCGAACATATTTCCGCTTAAGTTGAGCCATTGTAGGCTAGATAAGCTACTAAGATCTGGCAACTTCCCAGAAATCGCATTGTTTGACAAAACAAGAGCTGTTAAAGTGGTAATCCTTCGTATTGAAAACGGCAATGAGCCACTCAAAAGATTGTTGCTCATACTAAAACTAGTGAAATTCGAAAACGAGTCGAACCAATCAGGAAAGGTACCATTCAAGAAATTCCCATCCAATTTAAGAATCTGAAGGTTACTAATTCTCGAAAGTGTTGGAGGAATAGAACCATAGAGAAAATTCCAACTCAAATCCAAGTATTCAAGGGATTGCAATCTATGAATTTGATCGGGAATTGGACCCCAAATGCCTAATGATTCCAAACTAAGAGACTTCAATCCATTTAGCCTAGACAAGGTGGCTACAAGGGAATCTGTGGAGAAATTTTGTGACAAAGTTTGATTCGACACTCGAAATACATTAAAATTACTAACCCTTTTCTGTTTATCACCAAAGATTATGATCCCAGTAACCAAATTGTCTTCACAAGTTATGTTCACCTGAGTAGTTGACAAATAACAGAAATCTGTGCTAGTATTAAGCCATAAATCTAACTGTTTTGGGTACTCCAATTGCTTCCTTAGCTGCAAAAGTACTTGGGTTTGGGAGGATTGTAGTTGATAAGTTCCCAAAATCAAGAAACTAAACGAAAAACAGAGAAATGTAAAGAATCTTGAGCATTCCATGGACTTATAATTTCATGAAGAAAAGCACATAACTTCACTAAAAACAGCAAATTATGAAGAACCCACGAAAAATAAACTAAAGATGAAAACAAAATGTAGTCCAAGGTTGTTCAAACAGCTGATTCAAGATCCAAGATCCACTTCATCAAGAAAATATTAAAGCACAAACTTAGTGAAAATGACATATTTCTTGAATTCCTCAAAAATATGAAAACTAATTGCAGCATTCCATGGACTTAATTTCATGAAGAGAAGAACCACAAAAAATAAGCTACAGATGGAAACAATTCGTAGTGTGAGGGTGTTCAAAAAGTTGATTCAAGATCCATATCATTGACAAAAGATGAAGAAAAATACAAAAAAAATGACAAGTAGCAGAAGAGGGCTGCCCAGAAAGCTGGTTCAAGATTCAGAGCACCAACAGAAGCTGGAACAATAGCAAAACTGAATAAAATAAGTGAAAAGAAGAAAGAAAATAAGCAATCACAAAGTGGGGAATAAGGTTGTTTTTTGGTTGTAGAATCCTAGAAAATGTGAATTCAGAGTGCTTGAAGAATTTAATATTATTGGGGTGTTTAACTTTTTCTTAAAATATGGGAGATATTGTTACGACAATAGAGTGGCGAGTGGGATCTTCAGAGGAAAAGTTGGAGGTTTGTAGTAAATTACTTATATACTGTCATTGCCATGTTTCTGTAGCGGTGAGGACTATTACTGAAGAGAGAAATCAAATGTGAGAGAATCTATGCCAACTTACATACAAAATGGCATGTGCTGGAATTTTTAAATGGTTAAATTGTTGTTTTACAAAATTGGCCCTAAAGAATGTCGGATAATAAAAGTTAGGAAATATTAAAATATTAGATTATAATCTCTTGTTCAAAACTTGATCTTTAAAAGGAACAAGTCAAGTTCAATCTTTTATTATAATTGTACTATCAATTTTCAAAGTTGGGAACCATTCAACTTGCTGTAAATTGACATGGTGCTCTTCCACTCAAATTGATAAGTGTAAAATCTACACTTATTTAGGCCATTAACGAGACTTTTATTAGTAGTTCGAGGTCAATTTCTATTGATTTGTGTTTTGTATTTGTTTATTTCAGACGAAACCTTGAGCTTGAAGTACATTGGAGATGGAGAAAAGAAACCTAAGAAAATTATGATACAAGAGGAATGTATGAAATAAAAAGTTGAGCACCTAAGGCTTCAAGTGGAAAGAAGATGAAAAGAGATCGAAAATTAGTGCTTTGAGATGAAAGTACAAAGAAATAGGCTAAATGAGGAACAAACGCATGGAATACAAGGAGAAATTAAAAGGTCAAGTTTGAGATTTTTTCAAAAGCATAATATATCATTTGAAATCTTACTGAGTCAAGAGTCTTACGAATTTTACAAATCCTACTTTAGAATTTTCTATCAAAAGTTATGTGCTTGTCAATCCAAACTACCAAGCTAACAAAGCATGTCACTCGAGCAAGCTAAAGCTCCGTACAAGCGAAGCCAATAGAACATAAGAAAATATTGAAGTCTATGTCAGCTCGAGTGAGACACCTGAACCCTAACTCGAGTGAGACACATGAACCCTAACTCGATATTTTTCTTGACTTCACATACTTGTAGGTCAACTTAATGGCATATGACTTGTTGTACACAAGGTTAATCCCTCTTTTATATAAATACTAGACTCCTAAACATCAACATAAAAAAAACATATAAAATCATTTTGGAGAATACTTTGCAAGTGGAATTCTTGAAGAAGAAGGAAGAAGAAGAGCAAGCTTGAAACTTTCAGTCGCAAGCGAGGGATTCATTTTCATCATTTGTGTTTTTACAATTTGAACGTGAGTGGGAGTGGCTAGATGTCTCCAGTTAGAACGACAATGTAAACGTTGTTTTGAAACTTATTTCTATAAATCAGATTTTTACACCATGTTTGATGCTCATTCTTCTAAAAATACATTTTTCTCTCTTATTTTCAACCATATTTTTCAATAAAATAATATTACATGCAAATCCAAAAATTTTCCTTATTTTTTAACCACATATTTTCCATCAAATCACTATTTAAAATGCATTTTTGGGAGAATAATGTGCATCAAACATGGTGTTACTTTAAATTCCGTTCGTTCTTTATTATTTGTTATCGATTTGTATGCTTTCCTTTCATATAGTCAATATTAGGATTGAATTAAGAATCGTGTCGAGAACAAAAGGTGAAATGCATGTTTTAGCTAAAACTAAAATAATAGATTCTCAAAAGGGATAAAGATATATCGTTATGGTCTATGCCATCATTAATTACACTTGATTATTCTAAATTCTTTATTTCGTTTCCCAGTTCTCACAGAGACATTGAGAATTTACAATTAATAATTTATTCAACTATAATCGAGAAAGATTGTCAGATAATTTAGGGACATAATCATCAAAGTAAGAGAATATTATCAATTTCGTGGTTATATGAATTAAATTAGAAAAAATAGTTTGATTTCGAGTCCTAGGGCTTTTTCATATTAAAAGAATTTAAGTATACTTAGTTATATAATTTAATTGCTTTTAGTAGTTTTTAGTTAAAATCAAAGAAATTCTTGCGATTTACTATTCTTCAATTAACTTAAGAATAAATATTTTTGATTTTAAGTACCCAATTCACATTGAATCAACATTAGACTGGAATTCATTACTACAACTTGTCTTTGACAACATGCACGTGCACTTCTAAGCAAACACATATCCTTAACAATAGTCTGGCTACACTTGCAAGTTATAACCAAAAATGAAATCCAAATAGTTCAATGTTCTGGTTTAAATCATAATTTGCCAAGACGCTTCGACAAAATTCCTTGCCTTGGGATGGGCATTTACATGTTGCTATTTGTGGGTCCAAAAAGGAGCGTGTTTGATGTGATAATTTCTCATAGGTACGAATGAGATTTAACTTTCACAGTCGAATAAACTGAATCAAGTTGTGTTGGATCGGGTTGATTTTTAAAATATATTGGTTAGATTTGTTTCGGTTTTGGTTAGAACACAAACTTAAAAATATATATATAATTAAATACTAAATATAATTTTGCAAATTGACACTTAGCCCTCTCTCATTGATGTGTTAGATTTATGATTAGTTTTTTCTAAAATTTGTATGTTTGGAGGGCCCAAAACTTTTCTTAATGTTTATTAGTACACCCAAAAACCTTTGGACAATGCTACATAGCCAGGG